GCAATAAAAATGCAAAAACAGAAACACCATTAATGAAGACTACAGATATATTTAAACGTTTTGAATACCAAAAAAACATTAAGACAAAGGAGAGCTTGAATCTACTGCTTGGTCAGGAAATGGAAAAAAAACAGTGCAGCTGAAAACAGTCACTTGTATTAGGAGTGGGGGACACTTATACAGTGCCTCCTGGGGAAATGTCCACTGACTCACACAGTGCTCAGTGACACGGGTTTGACTCCCTCGAGCCCAGAGGAGGGGGGCCTTTAGAGAGTGAAGGTGTCAGAGGTGGCATCTCTGCAGCCAAAACCAATGAGGGAGGAAAGAGAGGAAGGGATAGAGGGGGCTGGTCTTCACAACCAGGCTCTGCCATCATTCAAAGCAGATGGCATCTTTCTTAATCTGTCAGGGCTTATTTTTGGGAGCTGGTCTCTGGCAGACCTCTTCATAATTGCTATTAGGCATGTGCAGGTCGTGCTCAGCCAAACCACCTAGGGTTTGGCTGGGAAAGCTCCAACCCAAACTTAGTGGCTCTCGTCCGTTTTCCTGCAAGCTTGAACTTGTGACAGGAACTGAAGATCCGTTTTATTTTCCTCTCTTTTCAAGATAACAGTTACAGCCCATATGTGACAACCTTCCTGAGTTTCAAGATCTCTCATATTTCAATAGACCTTTTTGTAAAAAGTAAGTAATAGCTTCTGCTCATTACCACTAGAGGAGGCAGACCTTTGCACTTTATAAGACGCCAATCCCCAAAATGTGTTTTGCTTACAGGACAAACACACAAAGTTTTTGAATAAAAAAAGAATACTGGGTCGGTTGATCGGCCATCAATTTTGTTAAAACTGTGTTTTTATTTTTGTTTCGGACTACAAAAACCCTTTTATTCAGCTTCAGCCACAACCATAGTGTGACCCCCAAGACTAAAAACTGAACCAGAAGCCCAAACCACTCCAAACCCTTATTTAACAATACTAAATCACTTAAATACTAAATCACTCTGGTAGTGCCAATAGGTATTATTTTACATAGGGGCATTCAGTAGTCCTTACAAACAGGGATTGGAAATAACGACTCACAGAAAGGTGAACACAATCAAGCCAGCATCAACAGCTAGTTAAAACTGACATTTACAGCCTTGATTATTGAGATGCAATTTTATGAATTGTTCCTAATGGGGCACACTGAGGTAACTTTGTGTTTATATAACTGATACTATATAAACGGCAATTTGCATCCCCTAAAATGAACATTTGAGAATCTCCCCCCCCCACAAACACACACATACACACAGCTGCTGACTCAGACGAGATAATTACACGGACATTTCTTCTGCAGAAAGAAACAGAAGATGACAAGAGAAAAATGTGGGACTATTTCTGATGCACAAAAATCCTCTCAAATTGCCAGCTGTCTGAATATGGTAATGTGGCTGTAGATGCAGACCAGGCCCAGAACCTTTAATAGCACCTTACAGACTTATCTCTTCAATTCCCCTTATCCTCCTCTATTTTATGACTAGCTTTAGGAATGACCTCCAGCTAGGCCGGGCCCTTGTTCCATCAAGCTTTTTTTCCACTCTTTTTTTTTTCTTTCTTACAGAAAATAAATTAAAAAGGTGTGACCTTGCTGTGGGCTTGCAGGGAAAATGAGGCACATCTTGTCACGAGCTGAAGAGGCTATTTGAAACCCGGTTTGTTCAATTTGAAAGGGCTGCTGCTTCACTCCGATCAGGAGTCCAGATAACGGCGATGGGATGAAAAGGGGAGGGAAGAAACGTTTCTTTTTTTTTTTCCGGGAGACGAAATTAAAACACAGGCGATGGAGGTTCACTCAGAATCAGAGCCCCTGCTTTGTGTGGAGGTGTTTATCTGGGGGTCCTATCAGCCACACCTTGTGCCAGCACAAGAGGAGGCACTTTCCTTTGCTCACGCAGATCCCTGTTGGACTGGGGATGGGACAAGGACTGCTGGCTGATAGCGATCACAGGACACGTTGGCCAGGCAAACACTACACCCCTTCCTCACAGCAGGCCGCGGAGCAGAGGAAAACTCCCGCCCGGTTTTCATCCACCTCTTGGCAAAAGGTTGCAAGTCACACTATGGCCATCTCCCTCGTGTCTTCCTCAACTTTGCATTTGCAGGGCCGTTTCGCTATCGATATCAACTGGGCACGTGAGTCTCTTCAACTGTTTCTTGATTGGGATCAGACATGTATTTAGCCGGGTAAAGGGATTGTACCGGCTCTCTCAACAGTGTGTAAGCAGCTAAAATTGATTCACGGGAATGACTGCTTTACTAACACGCGTGTCCTCCTTTTCCAGGACGAGTGGCCTAGAGTCCTGTGGCTTTGGATTTCCAAACCTAGTCTCAGTTTTGCTTGAATCCTCCTCTCCCGCGTTAGCAACTCTCCCTCGTCGTAAAACAGCTCCCCTTATTAAAACGACGCCTTTCTTTTTCGTCTGCTGTTGCGCTAATGCGGTGTAAATGTTTAATGAAAGGAAATGTAAATCTCATTGATTACATGTCACATTGCACACGCTGGAACACTTTTGCAACATGTCACAAACCCTACAAGCCACAATCCTCACAACCAGAGCTGGGCAATTAGCAACCAGGGTGAAGCCTATCACTGTAGCTAAAGAAACTACACAAGTCATACATGTCAGAGCCTAATATATAGAGAGGTTTAAAGGTATCATGTATCATGGTCGTAATTAGGATTGGAATGCTGTATGTACCCACAATGCTACCACAATGTGCCTTAATTGACATAAGAAAGAAAGGATGATTAAAAGTTCCTTCCAAGAGCAACAGACAGCCACAACAAGGAGCCACACACTACCAGTCTGTAACGGTGAATTCAGAAAAGCCCAAAGAGCTCCAACAAAGGTCAGACTGACCTCAGGATTCGAGCAATGTCAGACTCATTAAATTCTAAGCTGTACAAAGAGCTATGACTTGCAGGCACTTGGGCCTAAGAGGATTAAGGTAAGTGTCCCACCTAAAAGCCTACGAAAACAAAGATTAATCTGTAGACCTGAAGAAAAGCAGAATTTAACTTTAAGCACTGAGGTAGAAAAAAAAGAGGAAAAAAGAAACATTGATAACCTCATTGTGTTTTTCAAGGCATGAATACAAGTGGAAGTTAAAATTATGAGAAAAATGTAGCCTATTCATAGCTAAAGGCAGGGTTGGCTTACTAATACTACTTAAACACAATAACAACAGCACAGGCAGGGTAACCCAGATGTCTCTTAATAAGCAGGAGAGTTTCTCAGAACAGCTTATTACGCTTAATGATCATTTTATGCGGGGGATGTTTATCTCTGTGATTAATCAGTGTTTACCTATCTGATTTCCTGCGTCATTTCGATGAGTCAAGCCATACAGACACACAAGGAGGTTTGCTTATGGCTGTGTTCTGTCCCTCTTCCTTATTCTTCGCTCACGCACGGATGATTCCTTTTCACCTCCAAGAAAATGTTTTACGTTGATTCCGTTCTGAAAGCTACAGCTGTTCCAACCACTCCATCACACCCACCATCCCATGTAGCGCACACTTCGAAAGAAATGGCCTGGGATTTCGCATTACAGGATAAAAATGAAACCCAGCTGAAGTGTGAAAAACTGTAACAAAATGTAGTTAGTCTCTAATCGTAGTGTCATCAGAGCTGGCTGGACATGATGGCTATATTTCCTAATGCCCAGCTCTGCGTTCAGCTGTTTCTCACCAAATTCTATGATTGAAACCTGCATGTTCTCTATGTCGTTCTGCACTGCCCAATCATAATAATAAATCATAGTGCTTTATGATGTGCACCATCATTTCTACAAGCGATGCTACTCTTCCTTGAGGAGCACATGCTTCAAAATGGTGACCTCTTGTTGAGTTCCTGAAATCTCTCCAGATTTTTTCACACAAGGGTAGAATAGTCAGTAGGAAAAAAACAATCAAATTAAAAGCTTTGGGGGCAATCTTCTACCTCTTAAAGCAATGATCTGAGATGATATTTATCCATGATCTGAGAAAGCAGATACCCAAATCTGAATTTGTCACCAATGTTACAATTTGGGTTGAGTTTTGGCCTGGGATGCCTTCTGTTTGAAGAGTTCTTGTTCTCTGGGAGTTCCAGTCTCCTCCCACAGTCCAAAGACATACTGGAAGGGTTAACTGACGTCTCTTAATTGTCCCTGGTGTGTGTGATTATGCATGCACCTTCCCTGTGAAGCACTGGCATCCTGGACAGAGAGTAAGTTAATTTGTACCTGCCAGATTGAACTCATTCTTAATCTGCCTTAGACAAAGTTATTATTTGAAATGGATGGGTGCATATTAAGAGGTCACAAGACAAAAAGTGCTGGAAATTATATTTGTTTTCTAATGCACGCCCAGCTTGGACACAGAATAGAACCATAAAGTACTAATCCATTATCTCCTTAAGCAAGTTGATAACTCATTGACAATGAGAACAAAGCTTGAAAGACTAGTTACAGAGCTATATTTTCACAAAGTCTATATTTACAGAGAAACCACTGGATGGAACTTCTATTCTGAAGGGAAAGGGGAGCAGTTTCCATCTGGAGAATGCATGCAATGTTGGCAAATTTGCATCCTGATGATGAAGAACATATTGAAGGTCAATTTGAGCAGTCAATCCCTAGATCTGCCGCAAAACTTAGGGAACAGCTGCTTTAACAAGCAGCATTGTCTTTAATCAGACACTGACAACCAAGAGGAAAGATCGGGTGCATTTCACATATTTTTTTCATAACCCACAGTGATTTCAAGAAAAAGGACTCACGCACACAGATCAGTGTTATATCTGAAATAAACAGTCAGTTAATAAAAGTCACTCCAAAAAACGGTTTGTAAAAAGATGTTATACTCCCGTCCCAACAAGAGACCCGTCAAACCTTAATTCTCTATGCGGCTTCGCCTGCATTTAATCGATACCACACAGGAGACTTGTGCCGAGCATGTGGGGTTCCAGGGCTCACCTTGGCCGATCCAGAGGCCGCCACGTCACTGGCCAGAGAGCCACTCTCACTCCTCAAGGACTGCAGGTCACTGTGGAGATCCTGTCCATCCGAGGGGCTCTTCCACCCGGGATCGTCCGGACACCGCACTGCCTCACCGGCTCGGGGCTTTCCCAGTGCTGCAATCTCCTCCCACTTCCCCTGCGGAACACCACAGAGGCAGAAAGTAAGGCCGAATGTTGATGTAAACAGAATACAGTACCCTGCCTTTCACCCCTATGTGCAAAAACACTTGAATTGCTGGATTCAAATCTGACTACTCTGGTTACAAATGCAAACAAACAGCACTACTACATCACATGTTGGGCAGTATAGTGCAGCAGGTGAGCCATGGGTCACATGACTGACAGGTGCAGGTTCGAGACCCTGCAGCAGACATTACTGTTGTACGACACCCCAGTTGCTCCAGTCCGCCCTGCTGTATACGTGGGGAGCAGCATTGCTGGGGGTGATCTCTGTGATGGACCAGTGTTCTATACTAACTTGCTCTCTAGTCCCCTTAATACTACAGACACCAGGATGAGCTCTGATATGGACTTTACCTTTTACTGCATCATAAAGATGCAATTGTTATCACTGGCTATTCCTTGCGGTACAGGATTGGCTTCTATGATCCTGAAAGTGACCCATGACAGGATTTGCACACTCACTGGCAAGTAGATATAATAAATCTAATAATACATATATATAATAACACAGGTGGGTAGCTGCGTCAGCATGTGTAGGCTGCAAAGGAACAAGTAATAGGTTTATTCCATGCTGAAAAGAGAAGAAAGAAAACACCTTCTTCAGGTATGAGGTAAAAAAAAGACACTTTAACCCACACTGTGCTATAATGGAACATTCAGCTGCTTCTCTTCTTTGTATTGTAACTGCCTAATTCTTGCAATACTGTTGGATACGCCAGCCCCAGCCTGTGCATATACCCCAGAGGTAGGGCAGTCTGGGTGCAAAAGCCCAAAAGCACTGTCTTTACACAGACACCCAGTGAAGAAAACAACTATTCCAATTCAGACACTAGAAGAAGCCTCACTATGGTGAAAGAGTCATGTCAGATTCTGAGAGCTGCCAGCCATAGGTTGCTGAAGAGAAAAACTTTACCAAACTTTGCAAAATGTGGATTCCTGGTGTCACCACCATTGGTAAGTAACAACCTGCTAAACGTCACGCAAGTCGGATTTTATCTGGTCTGTATGAAGCCACAAAAAAGCATAATATTTCAATAGCTATGAAGTTGAATAGAGTTTACAATTCGAATGAAAAACCTTAGCCTGGCAAAGACAGTTAAGATACAAAAGGAGAATAATTATGCAGTAAAGCAGGTACATTATTATAATAACACCAATCATGAGATCAGTCATAATCCAAAGGACAAATGGTGCTCGGTTTTAGTCAAGAATAGGAAAATAGTAATACTGGAATCACTATGTGGGGATTTATTAAGCAACATCTGAAAAAAAAAACACATCCATTTGTTTTATTCTGACATATTAATTTCTCTTTTTTCTTCTGAATAATTATTATATTACATTATAGCCTAGAGAACTATAATGGGCTCTATTAATTCAACATATTTTTTGACTTATGCTAAATTTCTCAATTGTTCTCACATTTTGTATTTAAATATTTCATAAGCAGATGTGAGAAAGAGAACAAAGGTCTGTCAGTTAAATGAAAAATAATTGTTTCTTAGCTAATTTGCGCTATGAATTTTCTATGCCCTTTATTGGCATATCATGTACTACGCAGAATACAATTCAAATGTACAAAATGATTTTTATTATTCCCAATGACCACTGCAAATGCAGATAAATTCAAAGACAACAGAGAAAAAGACATTTTCTGGCAAGTGCACAGTATCTCTTTTTATCTAAACCCTATTGCCTTTGTGCCTAGTATATGAAGTGTGCATTAAACACACACACACACACAAGTTTTCCCTCAATACCCACCAAAAACGCATCTACTCAACATGATAAAAAAAACAGCAGCATCAGTTTCAATAAGAGCACTGGCTTTCAAATTGCTTTGGTGTCCTACAAAATTACCATATGAGAGACTATTTACAACTCTACAAAATTTCTATCTGTTTCTATGAAAGTTACGTCCATCGCTATCATGGAACAAAATGAAAAGCCTGCCTTACTTGTTGCATGCAATTAAGCCTCAACAAAAGACAGCACAGGCAGTTTAACATTTCATAGGGCTGTAATTATTCTTTAACTGTTAGAAAGTGCTGTCCCCTAGGAACTAATTACTGAAAAGCGCTCATCACACACAAGATATATACAAACAAATCCTTCAAGCACAAAGTAAATGTTTAAAGATTAAAAGGGACGAATACAGGAAGCCATACCAATCAGTTTGGTTCAGTTAATTACTAATAAGAATTGCAGCCCCGTTGTGTTAGATAATTATGACACCAAATCACACCTCAAAAGAAGGGCCTCTGGCTGACTGTAATATAGATCTAATAATCAGTGTAAAAGTAATCAAGCAAAAATGTAGATAGGCTGCTAGGGATGTGTATAGCACAACAGGCTTATTAACGGTATTACATGATAGCTTCAAGAACACAGGGAATCATGTTAATATGGGTAAAACATCATTTGAAGGCAGAGAGAGAAATTGAAGTGTTCCTATTAACCTTCCCACCTGAGGTGCAAGGCACTGAATTCAGCTAAGAAGGCTCCACACCGGCAAGAGGGTACATACTGTAAATAAAGCCAAGAAGCTTGCTTGAGTACTAAATCCAGGAGCTGGGAAATTTAAATTCTGCTTCTTCAGTCGGCGCAAATGCCCATTTTGTCGGAATTTCACTCCAGTCTCCCCTTGTCAAGAGAGCCCGAGGCCCCTATAGAAAAAAAAAAAACATGACCAATTCCCAGGCTAGCTTCACTTTGCATTCTGTAACGCGGTGACATTTGTTTTGGGAGCAAAGAGCTAATTGCCATACAAGTGACTTTTCTGAGCTCCTATTTTTTCCCCACTTTAGAAGAGGCAATCAAACTGCCCTGCAAATATGAAAGGCTACTGCAAGCCTATTACCTGGGCAGATTTAAAAAGGACAAATGTGATGTCAACCACCAAGTAACCAGGCATGACTCTTTGGTTTCTATTTGTATTGTCCTTGAGATTATATTGTGTCCCTGCATTATGTGATCTGAGCCAAAACCTCACAATCCTATTTAGGTAAATTATCATTTAATTTCAAACCACAGCAATGTAAACCCTCTAATGCCATGGCTGAAATGGATTGCTTCTGAAAACGGTATAGGTTTTATAGTGGCTGCATCAAACAAGAGCAGAGATTATATATTTATAGTCTATACACATTTTGAGAGATGTGTATCTAAGATCTAAGAAAATATTACTTTGCAGAAGAACAAAAGGTTATGCCAACATTCAGTGACATAGGAGAAAACAGCTTTTAGGATATAAAACTTAAAATGAGACAGAAGCTTCATTTATGCATGACAATTTACCCGTTCAATAATGAAGTTCTGCCTCTTTACATTACCTGTTCATGCGTCCAGTCAGACTTTCCACATGTTCTTCAGCTGAAGTGGTTAAATTATGCACAGTAGGATGCAATATTTCTTGCCAGATTCTAATACAACTCCGATCATCAGACACTCTTGCTTTTAGCAGTTCTCCATTGAAGAGATGTTCAGGGGACATTTCAAAAGCAGGGAGAAAGCAGCCCCAACAAGGGACTAAAGTTAGCCCAGATCATTCCCAATAAAGGCGTTGCTCGATTTGGAATAAACAAAACGAAAACAGGGTTTGCAGCGTTTTTTTGTTTTTATGGATCACACAGTTTGATTTGAAACACAATTAACTGCTTGCAGCTCATCTTGCCAAGGAGAGACTGTCCAGGCGAACACTTCCACTGCACTGGTTTAGATCGAGAACACAGAGCTTCAGAACACAAGATATCCAAATGCAATTACTGTAATGCCAATTTGGTGTCAAAATGTGTCTGAATGAGAGAGACAAACAAAGCTGTATAAATCCCATTTGGTTCAGAAGCTGCCCACATGGAAAGTTACCAACTAGTGCTAATACTGCTAATAGGATGTTCCACTCTAAATGGAAGCTCATGTTAATACCAAGATTTTCATTCATGCTGGAAATTGTAGTTTTAAATTACAGTTTAATGCTTTAGATTTTTAATAAAAAAGCCCCCCCCAAAAAAAAAACCTTCACAGCAACACAAAAATTACCACAGTTTCAGCATTGAGCTTCAGATTCCTATTGTCAACCAATTACTGTGCAATCTCTTTCTTATGACTGAATAGCTCACTGTTAGCAAATAATGAAAAGGCAATTATAGCAAAGCTGTGTTCATATTACCCTCTTCATTTTATGCGGGCTGTAATTATTGTCAATCCTAGAGGCTTACTCTACCATGTAAGAGGCACTAGGGAAGAAAATGGAGTGGGCTGGTGCATGGAAAATTGCAAATGTCACAGCTACCTTTTTATCAGCACCGCTAGACCTTTACTGTTAAAAAAACCCACACACACACGTACGTGCACACACACAGAGGAGCGCGGGAGAACCTCGATGTGTGTTTTGCAAATTCTTTACCTCAAGCTGTTGCAGTCATTGAAGTACAGCACTGGCGACGTGGAAAAAAAAAATCATATAGTGCTTTTGTTCTTTTTTTTTTTACCAATAATTCCCAGAAGACCCTGCTTTTTCTGCTCGTGTCTGTCTGGAAAAGAAAGCCATGGAAATATTCCTTTTGCCATGGCTCCCATTAACTGTCTCCATGCTGTTCGCTAATGGGGAGTGGCATATAATTGATTCACTTTATGAGTTTTGATCTGTAATACTGAGAGGGAGTAAACCACATATGGACACCCTTCCTGGCATAAAACAATGTAAAAAAAGGGAAAGAAAGGGATTGTGACACGCATGACAAGGGGCTGGCAGCGTTATTATTTTAATGGGCGACTTTGACCCTTAAAAATACATTTCATCAATGCCTCCCTTAGTAACGATACAGAAAGTACATCATTAGAGCTTCACATCAATAAAGGCTGTGCATATAAAATACTAAAGTTGCTCAAGTGGCAGTGAGGAGAGAGAGAGGGGGGGGAAAGAGAAAAGAAAATCTTTTGTCAATACACTCA